AAGAACATTACTATGACCAAGGTAAAGAAAGGGGTTTGACAAAACGCTTTTGAACACATAATTTAGGTTTCTGTTCATGTATAGCTAAAGCTTCGGCTATGCATGAGTGAAGAAAACGTAAACTTTTGGATCGATTCGATTTTGCCATGTAGATAACTTTGAAAGATGAATCACATGGGGATAAATGACCAGACTCTAACAGGTGATCACAAATAGACGACTTTGCAGTTCTACGTTCGCCTTTCATTAACCAAACCGGATAGCGTTCAGCTACACGTTTTCGGAGATTACGCTTACAACGTCCAATATAATCAGCTCCACAGGAGTAGGTAAAAGAGTAAATGCGCATAGGTGTGGACAAAAGCGGTAATCTATCCTTGACGCATTGTCTGATCATATTTCGGCTGGTAAAAACTAGTTGCAGGTCAGCTGCAGGAAAAGTGCGTTTAATACATTTAGATAAACGATTTTTAATCAATTCTGAAATGGAGTCACCTTTGAATGCAAGACTCATAAACAGCTTTTTCTTTGGTACTGTGACTTGTCTCGGGGCGGATTATTTTTTGATGTTACGTTCAATGAACCTTGTGGGATAACCATTGTTAAGGAGATTTGATCGAAGGTTATCTAGTTCCCTATCGATTGTCTCTGCAGAGCAGATTTTACGAATTCTGGAGCATAAGGAATGAATAAGATTTCTCTTTCTCCCTAAAGGTACCCAACTGTTGAAGTTAGTGTACTACCCAGTGAATGTTGGCTTTCGCTAAATCGACCTTAGAAGCGTTCCATTCTCTCTTCTATCTAGCTTAACATCAAGGAAGTGAAACGAAGAATCCGACTCTTCTTCGATCGTGAAAAGCAAAGATGGGTGAGAACCATTAAATATTCTAAGAAGAAGAACTATATTTATTGTTAATGTACTAACTGGATGCAATATTGTAGTAAAATGCTGAGAATTCCATTCTGTATCACAAGTACTGATTTGGAATAAAGCTTACCTTATCTTATCTTAATTTCGGCAGTTGAAGTGTTTTCATCACATACAATGAAGTTATCATCAACATATCTTTTATACATAAACAGACTATCGATGGTTTCCTTTAGTGGGCCATTCTCTAAGCTTGCCATGAAAACGTCCGCTAAGAGCGGTCCTAAAGGAGACCCCATGGAGACTCCATCCCTTTGGTTGTAAATGACATCATTAAATCTAAATTGCACATTCAGTGTGCATCTCAATAGTAGTTGTTTAAGATAATCAGTTGGTAAGCCAATGTTCATGCTATTTGATTCAATATATTCGCATAGATAGCAGATAGTGTCTACTAGTGGTACATTTGTGAACAATGAACAAACATCTAACGAAATCATATGCTTATCAGTCACATTAGTTTCATCTACGCAACTAACAAAATCAAAAGTGTCAAAAAGACTATGTTTACATGGATTTAATCTAACTGGTTCCAGTATCTCCGCAAGCCATTTAGCGGTAGAGTGATACGGTGAATTCAGCATATTCAATACAGGTCGCAGAGGGACATCATCTTTATGCACCTTTGGAAGACCATATAAACGAAAGATAGTTGAACCAGATGGTTTAAGCTCTTCATACATATATGGAGTAATGATGCATTCTTGCTTCAATTTCGTCAAAGTTTTAGATAATTCCTTCTCAATATTATCTTTCTTGTCCTTTTGATCGGGTGATTTTAGAAATTTTTCTTCATCACTCAAGATGGTACATAATTTATTAACATAATCATCACGATTAAGAATAACAATACCTGATCCCTTGTCTGGACGAATCAGTATTATGTTTTTGTTTGCATGGAGGATTTCATCATGAGCTGACATCAGTTAGAGGACAACAGGAAAACCTGGGAGTACTGGACGCCTGTTTCGTCCTAGTTTAGGACTCTTCAGCAGTACGCACCCACAGGGGTTGGAACCCAGGAACTTCTGGTTACAAGGCGAGCTCGTAGACCATTGAGCCACTGGGACCCGATCCAATGGTCCTTTGTTAAGCAATTCATTTAGTTGTCTTTTGTGTTCTCTTAGCGGTGAATAAGCCTGAATACAAATATTTCGTTTGGTTAGTGAAGCGTAACGAAATTTGACAACAGCTCAGTTAAAATGAGGTCACCTAATGAGTGAACATATAGGGCATACGTGTAATGCACAATCAACACAGTCGGTAGAATATACGTTGTCATGATTTATGTGTACGAATATTTGATGATAACGATTCACTTAGAACAAGCCCAGTATTGAAAACCAAAAATGGATGGAGGGGGGGATGAATTGTAACGAATTTAGATTTTATTTCGCTAATGACGAATGAAGATATGAAAACCAAAAAAAATTAAATTGAATCAAGGGAGAGTAGGGTGGGACGGTAGTGAAAACTGATCGATCCTGGCAGATCACAGTTTACGAGGTCATAAGTGAAAACCTTAGGAATACAAATGAAACAAAGCGTGTGGGAAGAAGGGGGGAGGGCAAGACGAGAGTGATTCACGGTGGATGAAAACGTATACTTGTCACAAAGAAAATGTTTACAGGTTCACCAATGATTACAGTTCACTAATAGGAGCACCACTGTTTATTGTCTGTTATCCCACCTTATTGTTTGGCTAGAGGTACATAAGCAGTGCTCTTTACGTTTCAAGACCATTCTCTACCAGGATTTATTAAACATGCAGGTGAGTGAGATTTTTGGTGTGAAAAACTATTTGTCCCTTATGAATATCATCAGGAAATTAACTTGTGCATTCAACGTTCTGCAACATGTCGTAAGCGAGAATATCTTCTGGCAGATTGCATGAATGTCTTGGATACAGCTACTCGACATTTTATCGACGTCGAAAACGGTTACGAGACGCAGTTTTTAGTGATCTGATTACTGGAAACGGTACTGTGCATCTAGGGGAGGCGTACCAAAGAATAATACAGCATCTTTGGCTTCAAGTTCAACTGTACAGGGTACAGTCGGTGTAACTAGTACTAGTGAGGCTGTCACTGATGTTTCACCAATTGACGAGAACCGTAATATGCAATATTATGTATTATTATTTATTATTATATCCTTTAATTCCTAGAGGAACATAGGGCTTCAGCTGCGCGTCTCTATTGCCTTCGGTTTTCTGTCCAAGTCTGCCCACATGCTTTCATCTCCTGTTCACATGACCTTCTCCAAGTCACCCTTGCACTGACGACCAACTCGCCGCTTCCCTTTCGGCCTGGTTCCACTCGAGCGATGGCTTTTCTAGTGATGTCACTTGATGGTTTCCTCAGAGTATGGCTAACCAATCCATCTCCATTTCTTCCTGCCTATTTGTTTCGAAATCGGTTTCTGCCTTGTTGGTTCGCTCATTGCCATAGATCCCTGTTGCTGATCTTTTATGGCCAGCCATCTGATCTTGAGTATTGAGCGAAGACAACTGTTATTGAAAGTCTGTAGTTTGTTTGAGATGCTCTTTATGACGCGCTGGCCAAGTCTCTGATCCGTATAGAAGCACTGATTGTATTCGCATTGCAGTTGAAAATCCGGATCTTATCTTTCACGCTGAGTGTTGTTGACCTCCACACAGACTTGAGAGAAGTGAAAGATTGTCTTGCTTTCCCGATCCTCGCTGCTTTGATATCCTCATCAGTTCCGTCCACCTGTAGTTGAAACGATGCTACCCAGGTCAGTAGGTGAGTTAAGGAGGTTGTTTCTTTCAGATTCCTCCCATTTATGCTGATTGTTATCTGCTGTTGTTGCTGTCGCTGTTGGCCAGGAGTCTTCATCACCTCTGTTTTATCTATGTTCACCTGTAGTCCTATCTTTGATGCTTCTTCCGGCAGCTTGTTGCTTTTCAATTGCATATCTTCCAGTTTGTGGGAAATTAGACATATACACCGCATCGGCGAAGTCCAGATCCTTCAAGTTTCTTGTGTGAGTCCATTTTATGCCTGTTTCCTCATTGCACGTTGTCTGTCTCATTATCCAATCTACTGCAATCAGGAAAATCATTGGCGATAATAGACAGCCTTGCCTCACTCCTGTCCTCACTTCGAAGGTTTCCGTAAGTTTCCCGTTGTGGATTACTTGGCATTCAGCATTGTCATAGAACTGTTGGATGAGATGTATAGTTGTCGGTGGGACCCCGTAGTAGCGAAGTAGTTGCCAAATCACCTCTCGATCGACGTTGTCGAAGGCCTTTTCTAAGTCGATGAAGTTGAGATAGAGAGGCGACTGCCATTCCAAGCTTTGTTCAATGATGATCCGTAGAGTGGCGATTTGATCGATACATGACTTGTTCCTCCTGAATCCAGCTTGTTACAGTCGAAGTTTTTCATCCAGGGCGCCTCAGGTTTTTCGTAAAAAGATAACATACTAAAAGCTGGTTAGAAAGTCGATTATGGAACTGTTCTTATCATCAAATGTCACAGTAGATAGTGCACAGGATATATTGGACCGTCTCCGTAAATTTAATCCATATGTGCCAACAACCGTAACATATTTACTAAGAGATAGTGGCATGTGTGTACCTAGATTTCTTCGACAAAATGTTAACAATCCTCCTGAACTACAGGGGGAATTGCAGCCTCATTCAGGTAGTTTGATTGACAGCGGTACTAATCAACATGTTGGCGTGCTCAGCAACGTGATACATGTTAAAGTAATACTGACGTATTTCCAATTCTTTTACACATTTTTTTTTACAGAATTCTACATCAGTTCGATTTCTTATCGTCCGTAAACTGAAAGATGATAGCATACTCCCTATTCCAAACACTTGGGTTTTAAGAAGTGGCTTATGTGCATATAGCAGCATTGCAAGCCATCTAGAGCCTGTGTTTACTGGGCATGGATGGTCGGTGTTTGAATTTACTCAACTACAGGAATTTGGTAAGTTGGGATATTTTGTAAAGATATCACCCATCTAGATACGTATGAGAGTTGTCAAAAGTGTGTAGAGCTTTTGAGAAAGTATGGTCAATGCAATAAAAAGGCAGATATGAGACCGAAAAGGTAAGTACCGATGTCTGCGTCTAACATAATTTTAAGGGATAGTGATATATCTGCTAGCAAAGTTGTTTGCATCAAACCACGATATCCAGATCATAATAATATATTCGATGACTTCGCAACCACAATTCCAAGGTATTTTCAAACCCAGTTGAATACCGATTCATTTTCAGTACTTCAAATGCTTCGAATTTTCATTCTTCAACTCCTGTTGGTAAAAGGACGACAAGTGTATCTTACCGGTAGGAGGAGTAATTATTACATTTTCTATACTTGCTTTAGACTGTCGTCTAACGACGCTGTCGTCAATGCTTCCATGATAATGAAGAAAGTGCTCGGTAAGTACTTAAAAATATAATTATTTATTGAAAGATACAAATATGGAAATCATCAACTTGTGTACGAAAATGCTGAACATTATGACTACTGACAGCAAATCTCGATGGCAAACTCACCACCATTCAGCCAACGATTATTACGCACTAAAGCTTCCGATTGAGAATGAAGAACACTTAGAAAAGCTGGAAGCATCTTTAAGCGACGAAAAATTCAAGGGGATATATGTTAGTTTGCTTGTTGAATTCTCATTATTTTTATTATTATTGTTTTGTAGACATTTAAAATGTTTGACTGTCTTCAAAGTGATCCGAAGTTGTCACTTAAAGTGATGATGCGAACTGTTCTCAAACCTGAAGTTGGCTTGACGTTTACATTTCAAGGAACTATGACAAAGTCCAGCATTTTGCCCTATACCTTCTATCAAATTATGAGATGTAAGATTTGTTATTAAATGAAGTGCTTATTTCTCTATAGATGTAATTTTGGCAAAATTCTCCAGTCGACTGATGCCGACGAGAGAGGTTGATGACATTCTAGACAAAGCCACGAAATCATACTTTCATAATTTGAAAGATCATGTTCGGAGGCGTTCGAAGCTGAGGAAAGAAATTCAGGTAATATTGTTAAGCGTGCGCGTCTACTTACTTACTTACTTGTATGAGCCATGGTTTAATCAACATGTGGTAATCACAATATTGATTTTTATATTTCTAGGCAAGTAAAGAAGAAACCAGCAGAGGAAGAGAAAGTAGTGACAGTTATGGAAATACACCACCTTCATCAAATTAAATGCTGAAAATGATCTGAACAGACGTTTTCCTCAACTGCACTGCGCTGCCCGTGGATCTCATTTGACAGATTTGCAGTGGCATCGTATCATAAATTCAAAATACACAATTCTCCCCCAGATACAAAAAACTGTTTTCTTTCTGCACACTCGAAAAATTGCGTCAGCATAAGATTCAGTTCATGGTAATAAGCAGTAGTCTTTCTAGAATGCGTTGAATATGTTAGTTAATTCGGAAGAGGACTTAAGGACTCCTGAACTGTCCTGGTTTTGTGTGCATTACCCATTCCGTTTCACTCTTATATTTGTCAAACTCTATTAATTCTCTTCACTCATCTTCTTGTTTTCTAACTTTGTGTTGTATTTGAAACGTGGCAACTCAAACTGCTGCACTTCGGTGCCAAGTTCTATGTTGAATCCAGACAGACAGAACTGTCCTGGAATAGGCATTGACAATGATGAAACAATACGCTAGTCAGTGCTAATTTAGAGCTTCAAATTGTTATGACAAATAATTGCCAGTATGCGCTGAACTCTAAGTATATTTGCCCTAATGTAATGTTGGTCAATGCTGATACTGGGCTAAGAGGCCTGAAATAAGTCTGAAAAGTAAACCTCCAGTAGGTTCTGAAAATGTCTGGAAAAAGCACACATTGCCGAATTACTGCCAGTCATGCTGAAAACCAACGCTGAGTTTATGCGCATAGTCAAACCATTTCAGCATTTACGAGAGTAAATTCTTCTGAAGTTCAGTTAGTTGGTGGTGACTAGCACTTGAATCCAGAATGTGCATTTCATCCTATTAAGGACTCATCAACCGGATGTATCTGCATTCATGAAGTTTCTTCTGGCTTTACACAGAGAAATAAAAGGAGAAAGTTGTTAGTAAGTAGAGAGGATGTTCAACATCAGACAAGATAACTTTAGTCAAACACTTGCTGGAACTGAAGTGCCTATTGACGAAAATGTCAGCTGGCTGAGTTAAATCATTATACTTAAGGCCAAGGTCTCCCAATAGCTGATCTTCGAGAACTAATCAGATAAAGGGAATGCTATGAAAGGTCACTTCACATGAAATCATGCTTGCCTTTATGGACTTGGAGAAAGCAGATACAGTATCCCACTTATTCCCTGGATACTTTTTCTGTAAATCTATACTGTTAGGTAGGGTTGTGGCTTTTTGGATTCTGGTCTAGGGTTAAGGTTATCATTTAGGGTAAATTTGAGTTTAGAAGTGGCAGTGTTCAACAATAGCGTCCCAAGGGATGTGAACGCATGAGTGCCCTTCAGCCGACCAATTATAAAAATGAGGAGTTTTCGCAAAAGAAGAATAACGTATATTTACAAGGAAATGCATAAAAACATCAGACACGGTATATTCCTCTGATATGACTTAAAAATACGTCCCATTTATAATGGAAAGTATCAGTTGCCATGTTAGACTAGTTTCTGTACATATATTCACCGAGGTGACCGAAGGTGAGCTGTTTTTGTGAGTCGTTTATCACTCTTATCCTGTTATGCAGTCTCCCACAAAAACCGTCGGCTGAATTACTATGGTTCCCAGTTAGACGATTGACAACTGCTTACCGGGAAAATGTGGGTAATAAAACAAATTAAAATAAATGACATCAACTATAAATCTATCCCTAATTATAACCTGCGCTCGAACCTCAGTGTGCCAGTACTGGCGATGAGCCCCGAACCGGGAATAAGCAGCTTTTCGGTAATCCTTGGTTTGAACCTCGCCAATTTACTGGCTTGACAGATTTTTAGCCATTTCCAGTCCCAGGAAAAGAGGGGGTACTAGTGTAACAACAGAAGACAAGGGCTGGCAACAGATCGTTTTATTACGAAAATCAACACGTATTTATATATATTTTATATGCATTAATAAGGCTTATGCAAGCAGAAAAAGGCAGTCTTCTGATTGGTTGTTTTCGATATTTCTCGGAAAGTAGAGCCATCTATCTGCGAATCATATTTGTCCACATTTAAGTTTGCTGTGATTGGTTGTTGAAACAGCCTTGTTCATATTTTCTCACGGCCCATATTAGTGACCTAGACATTAACGTAGATTAGTGCCAACCAATCGGCTAGCAGCCTGCTCTCACCACACTCGTCCCCCCGTCAAATAGCTTCGTGCGCAGACGTTCCGACCTTCTGGGTGCTACATCCTCTAGTTGAGGATTGTTACTGACCGGCTTGTCCCACTGTACCCATCTTTGGAGCTGACTGGCGTTAACTCGTTTCTGTTTATCACCTCTTCGGATGGTATATACTTGACCCCGTCTTTTTGTGATTGTGTATGGTCCTTCCCACTTTGGAAGGAGTTTCCGTGAACCTAGCCCGCCTCCAACTGTATATCTCCTGTCTCTACACTTCACTTGGTCCCCGACTGCAAAGGTAATGCACTGCGTCCTTTCTTTCATCTGAGACTTCGTGACATCACTGCGCTGCTTCCGTATTACATTCTTGACTGCCTCTTTCCTCTCTGCTTTTAATTTCGTCGTACTCCACTTTTGGTGCATGGGCCAGGTCTCATTGTGTACCGGTAATCGTGGTTTTCTACCATACATCAGTTGGAAGGGTGACTTCTTCGTTGTTTCCTGAGTGGTAGCCCGATGTGTTAGTAAAATCAGTGGAAGCTCCGTTTCCCAGTTCCCGCCCTTCGAGGCCAGCCACTCCTTCAGTGTACGGTTGTTTCTCTCCGTTAGGCCATTCGTTTGTGGATGGTATGGGGTCGTTCTGATCCTCTTGATGCCCAGCTGTTGCAAACGGGAAGTAAACTCTTCACTCTCGAAACAGGGACCTTGGTCTGTCAGTATTGTCTTCGGTACGCCGTGGTCTGCAACAATGTGTCTAACTACTGCATCTGTCACGGTTCTTGCACGTTGGTCTGGGATTGCTACGGCGTCTACCCATCGTGTCGCGTGTTCCGTCATCACCAAGAGGTACTGATTACCATTGGATGTCTGAGGAAATGGACCCATGACATCTACGGACCACAAGTCACCTATCGCGGTAACTGGAATCGACTGAAGTGGTGGTCGTATATACCGGTCACCTTTCATCAGCTGGCACCGTGGACATCCAAGTACGTATCTTGCTACGTCTTCTCTCATACCTGGCCAGTACATACTTTGTCTTAGGAGGTCGGTCGTTCTGGCCACGCCTGTATGCGCTAGCTGGTGACATTCTTCTATCATGTCGTGGCGCGACGATTGAGGTATGACAGCCAGCCAGCTTCCGTCGTTCTCTCGCCAGGTCAGAGTCCCGTAGGCATTCACTCTGAGTCGATCCCTCTGTCTGAGTAGTGTGGTTAGCTCCTTACTCGCCGTAGTTTGATCCACTTCTATTCCGTTGGTGATCACCTGTATTACTGTATTCAGCGTATCGTCCAACCTCTGCCTACGTGCAAGTCTTAGTGGGTCTTGTTCTACTGCATGCACTCCGTAAGCGACCTCGGGCAACTCAGACTCATCTTCTGGTCTCGATAACAAATCTGCCAAGACATTTTCACTTCCAGGAACGTGTGAGATCGTAAAATCGTACTCCTGAAGACGCAACATCCACCGTGACAACTTCCCCCGTGGGTCTCTCGCTGTCTTCAAAAATTGTAGCGGCTTATGATCAGTTTCGATGTGGAACCGCCGGCCGAGTAAATAAGGTCTCCATTTGTCGACTGCCCATACCATTGCTAAACATTCTTTCTCTATCGTTGAATACTTTCTCTCTGTGAGGGTCAAAACCCTACTGGCATACTCAACGATTCCCTCGTCCTGTCTTAGGACCGCACCTATAGCGTAGTCACTGGCATCTGTGCACACTGTGAACTGTCTTCCTGGCACAGGTAGTTTTAGCGTCATTTGTTGGTGGTCGAGCAGCTGTTTAATTCTGTCGAATGTCCTCTGCGATTCTTCCGACCAAACAAACTTTGGCTCACCTAGTAGCCTGTATAGAGGGGCTGCTATCTCATTGAAGTTCTTCACGAAGCGACTATAAAACGCTGCTCTACCCAAGAATTGTCTCAGTTTTCTCTTTGAATTCGGGGCTGGAATCGTTTTAATCGTCAAAATTTTCTCCGGCAGTGGTTTAATCTCACCATTTCCCACTTTATGTCCCAACAGAGTAACATTCTTTTTGGCTATCTGAGACTTGGTTTTGTTGACGCGTAGTCCAAACTCTTCGATGCGTCGCAGCACGGCTTCTACATGGTTGACGTGATCGTTTTCGTTTTGACTGTATATGACGAGATCATCACCATAAACCTCCACGTTTTTCAAGTTCCTAAGTAATAGCTTCATCAGTCGTCTGAACGTAAACGGTGCACCTGCTAGTCCAAACGGCATGCGTTTAAATCGATATTGTGTCTGACCCACGATGAAAGCCGTCTTATCTCTATCACCTTGTTTTATCGGTATCTGCCAGTATCCTGAGCGAAGATCGAGAACCGAAAACACATTCGCACCTTGTAGGCGATCTAAAGTTTCTACCACTGTTGGCATGGCACACGGTCTTAACTCTGTCATACTGTTTAACTGTCGAAAATCAACACAGAATCTATACTTCCCATTCGCTTTTTTTACTAACAGCACTGGAGAGTTGTACGGGCTATCAGCTTCCTCAATAATATCATCTTTTAACATCTCTTGCACTTGTCGCTCCACTTCGCCTTCCAGATGACATGGAACTCTTCGCGTTAAAAATGACCTTACTTTCGGATCACTTAACGGAATTTCATGATTCACCTTATCGCAATAACCGTATGGGTCGCCATCTCCAGTGAACAGATGATCGTATTTATTAATTAACTCTGTCACATTGTGTACCGTCGACAGCTTAATCGCTGCTATCTCGCTGGTCTCATACATGTTGATATGCCCGTATTTCGTGATCACCACGTTCGCTTGCGTGTCGATTATTGCACCAATCTCACGCAGAAAATCCGCTCCTAATATCGTTCGCTGTAGTTCGGGTACAACAATGAAAGGAAACGTCACCTCGCAGCCACCAACAACGACCGTACAGTTCGATCTACCCGTGATACGCAACACATACCCGCCTACTGTTTGTACTGTCAATGAACACGGGCTAACACTCTTACATAAATTCT